AAAATTAAAATCAAGCGATTGTCTAATATGAAAACGAATACAAAAAAAGTCAAAACTATAATAGATATTGTAACTTTCTGTAATACACACCTATAATTATATGGTTACGAGCAACATTGATCTTATCCCCTCATTATTAGTGTTGGGAATGTTATATATATTAGTCAAAATGCATATATATTATGTTTGCTCGCTGTCGTAATTAACACATTATTACGTATTTCTCTCTTAGTGATCGATCGTTAACTTTTGCTAGCCTAACAATGGAGACGAAGATGCTAAACTAATATAATTAGCTACTGATCATCTATCTCCAATTAATATTAACATACATACATACATGTATATGTATATGTGTCTATATATATATATATATATATTCTCGTTCTGATCAAAGTGAGGACCATCAAGATTAGGAAAAAAGAAACATCAACTTACTATATGTGTGTGTGCGTGTGTTCTTGTCCTGATCAAAGTTTGAGGATCAAAGTTCATATCATCATCAACGTCAATTCATTGATTGATCAAAACTATATGTATTTCGTGGACCACATGATACAATGAGTGTCCGTACGTAGTACGTACAGTCTTTATAATTGGTTAAAGCGTACGTGACTCAACTCTAACAAAACTTTGTTCACTAAGTCAAACATTTGTCGTGCCCATGTCTAAATACACACAAACGCATTGCATCATGTCATGCTTCCATGTAACGTTTTTCAGGTTAACTTTGGAGGATATTATTGACTTCCTTTTGATTATATATGTATGAATTCTACATCTATATATTAATTAATGTTCTCATAAGTATTTATAAATGACATCTCTAAGATCATATAAAGTTATATATAGTTTAAGATAGAGTTTTTAATAAATCACAAGACTCTCATACCCCTAAATCTCTTTCAAACTACGATAGATCACTTTTACACCTTGTCAATTAGTAAAAATTTGACGATATATATATGCATCTAATAACGAACCTAATATATATATATATATATTGAACGAATGATATATATGGTTTCAATTACTCTAATGCCAATTACTTTTATAAATTTATACAGCTGTATATATATATATATATGTATGTATGTGTGTGTGTGTGTGTGTGTGTGTGTGTGTGTGTGTGTGTGTGTGTGTGTATGTATTTGCACTATATATATAAAGGCACATGAAAAAGGTAAATAATGTGGTTCCCTATAGTCTATTTGTTCTGAACTTTACATTTATTGAGATATATATATGTATAATTATATATATTAATAATTGTGACTCTAAGATAAACACGGGCCTCCTTTTCATTTGGCCCTAACCCTAATCCTAAATACAGCCTCAGCCTCTTATCTCCGAAAACCCATCATTAATTATGGAGAAAATTAGGTTTTGAATTGTGATGTAATGGGATAAGCATGATTGATCGGGGGAAGGGGCAATGTGTTCATTCTATTAGTGGAATGCAAACATAAGCACTTCCTCTGTTCGTTACGCCTTGGAAACATCTTCTACTCATATCAAGTTCAATGGCACATTTATATAAATATATATATATATATACTTATAGTAATTCGAAAGGAAAAAGATGACTCTAACATTACTATATATTGCTTGTGTTACAGACACTTAACATAAATATAAATCCTCCATAATTTTAACAATTATTACTTGTGGTCACTACGGCTTTGACAACCTAAAAGTTGCAATACATTACCACATATATACATATACATATATATATATATATACACACTCGCATTAGAGGCCAGAGGAGTGGGGGACCCCCTTTGATCAATCGTTTTCATTGCAAAGCTTCACGCAAGTATGTGTGTTTGTGATTTAATATGATTAATATCAACAAAAAAAGGAAATAGTTAGCGTGGGTACATCAATCAACTCAGATTGGTGCTCCAAACAGAAGAAAAAAAAGAGATAAAAAGTGCACCGGACGGCCATGTGCTTTTTCGATGTGTTCCATTCTTTTTACTGAATTGATGTTTGTTAATAATTGTGGTGTTATATGTATATATATATATATAGTCCAATGAGAGAATTATTGGTACTTCATATTCGGGTTCATTGTACTCTCTCCCTATGTACTGCTCCTGACCATAGACCACCTTAATATGGTTGCCACCAATCAGCGATATATAACGTGTGGATGTAAAGTACAAACAATGTTGTCGTCCTAAATGATCGGTAAGAAAAAAAAAAAAAAAAAAAAGAGGCTATTTATATAGCAAAATTCAATATTAATTTGTGAGTCACTAATACAGACTCTATTTCATCCCCTTTATGCGTCACTTAAAATGAGGAGTGACATTCTTCTAAATCTATATATAAAAAATGACTTATTACTATGTGTGTTTGTTTGAAAAAAATTAAAGTAACACGTGTTACAAATACCGAGTAACATACGAACAAGAATCTGAAATAAAGTATGAATTTAATACCCCTTTAATTGGTTTTCCTAATTTTTTTTTCCTATGTGCGGGTAATCTGAAACATACGTATTGCAAGTTTAAAGGTACAAAGAAAATATATATATATATATATATATATACACATATATAGAAGGTATTCATGATTATTATCTCCATTTACAAAAATGTCGTGAAATGGAGAATAGACCCCACTTATCACACTGACACAATTATATCAATTTGCCCTTTGTCTTTCTCTCTCGAATTTTCATGGTAAAGGATCATTTTCCCGCGCAAAACGATCATGACGAGTAGCTAGGGCCTCTCTCATTTAACTGATCGGAGTATAATGAGAAATATAAGATATGTTTAACTCATTAATTTAAATTTTTAATTTAAATTGAGATGTAATTTATATAAAAAAAATTTATTATAATAAAAAAATTAAATATAATTATTTATGAGAATTTTTTACTAAAACAAAATTCGAACGGAATTACGTTCTTTCCGTAAGCACAAACCCAAATTAATGGCGATATGGCACGTATATGGTTGATGACACATATAAATGACAGTAACCCTAACACTAGCTAGCTAGCTAGGCCAACTTTTTCCGTTTTTTTTTTTAATCAGGAAAAGAAAGAAAAAACCAGCCACCAGCTAATTGGGTCCTACAGTATGACCATAGATATTTTTTTTTGAAAAATACTTAAAATACCGTTAATGTTAAAAACTACCGGGTGAGTCGACTCACCTTCTATTAGTTTGTTAATACCACCGGTAATATGATTATAATATTGTTAATATTTTTCTTTATTGAGTTGCCTCGTGGAATTATAGTAGTTGTAGTTTTGGGTCCCATTATCTTGACCAAGAAGTCGTCGGTAGATCACATTTGTCTTGACCACGTTCCAATTGAATCAAAAAGGAATTGGAAAACTCATGACATACATATGTAGTGGAGTCCAGTTGTATTTGTACTTATACGATTCCGTAGCTGTATTACACCCTTATAAATCTATATGTATATATTCCAAGATTATAATTATATATAAATATTAGTCTCTTTTACGTTAAATAAAGTTAATTCACAACAAAAAATAATTATACGGAATCACCCAAAAAAATCGTCTGTATTACGTTTGTTATATCTAAATATAATATGGACACTCACGTTTATGACTTATTTATACATGTATAATATATATATATGTATGTATATGTACTGGTCATACGTGGACTTGTCAATCCATAAGTATTAATTCAAGGGTTTCGGCTCTCAGTTTCTCTATCTAGCAGCAAACTAAAAGAAGGCAAGTATTTTCTTTTTCTTTCTAAGTTCACTTGCCTTTTTATATTGGTCAGTACACGTGGCAGCTTCTCAACACCTCACTTTCATGGGACCACTTTGGTGGCTTCTCCAATAGGCACGCGGCCTACAAAGATTCGGCGCCGCCATACCCTTCTCTCTCTTCTTCTGATCTCTTTCTCTCTCTACATACTATTCCATCACGTTTTGCTTCCAACTTTTTTAACTCTTTTTTCTCTTTATACATTCACTTTTTTCTCTTTATGCATTCACGACCCTTTCTTCTTTTTTTTAGGACCCGTTTAGTTCGTTAATTTAAATTTTTAATTTGAATTGAGATGTGATTTTATGTAAAAATATTTTACTGTAACAAAAAAATTAGATGTAATTATTTATGAGAACTTTTTACTGTAACAAAACTCGAATCAGCGAAATGAACAGGACCTTAATTTTTTCAGGGAAAAATACTTTTTTTATTTCTTTCACAGATTCACAGTAATTAAAAAGAAAGAGAAAGGTCTTTCAAAAAAAAAAAAAAAGAACTTTTACGGTGAGAATTGTTTTTTACCATGGATAACTGTTATTTTAATTGTTGAATTAATGTTTTAATGATTTGATCTATGAACGAGTGTAGTCCTATTTCGCACACTACAACAATTTTTATCGATAATGAAAAATGATAATTACCGACATTAAAAATTCTGAAAAGAAAAATAGACAGGAAGATGAATCTATAATATCATCAAGATAGCTTTTGGAGTTATGTGGAGCAAGCTTAATTATAATGCATAAATTCTTTGTCTTCTCAAGTGGGTTCTAACTAAGCACTTTGTCCGTACGATATCCAACAAAAAAGAAATAAAAAAACCTTGGAATCGTACTTAGGTGGGCTTAATGGCTCTAGAAGCGATAATTAAAGATGAACATTCAATCTTTTTTCTTCCCCTTTTTTAAAATTTAAAATTTAAAATTCGTAATATTTGTCCCTAATGGTTAACTAAACTTGCAAACCCACGAATGTTATTGAGCCACGTATGGAAATCATTATAAATTGCCTTTTAGCAATCTAGAAACATTAGACTTTAATTCTGGTTCAGGCCCCATGGACAAGGTTTTCAAAAGGAGCATTATAATTAGTACTTGTTATAAGAATTATAACTATATATATAAATATTATATATATATATATATAAGTGGATACATGATATATGTGTGTGTAGGGATGGTGGAACCAATTATATACTCACATACTTTATATCACAAAATTTATCTGGAAACATGCTACTATAATGCAATCACTAGCGAAAAGAAGATGGAAATAAACAAAGAACCAGTAGTACAAAGGTCATTTTCAAAGAATGAGATAAAGAAATTAAAGAAATCAAATTTCCCCACCCCAAAAATAGGAAAAAAAAAAAAAGAAAAGGAAAAAAGTACAAGCTGAGTAATAATCCACAGTTTTGGATATGATCTCTCTGTCCTTCATTCACATGATGAACTTCTCTATATATTTATCCTAGATTAATCTACTCCATAATTTTCTTTTTCTGGCTTCTATTTTTCCCACCAAATATTTGTGGGAAAATATTTAACATCTCTACACAATGAAAATTAAATACCATGCATGCACTAATTTAAAAATGATTTCACCCCCCACAATTAATTATCCAATATTTTTTGTGACCTTATTGTAAAAACCACATGTCTTGATCAACATTATTCCACAAGTTGTCCACTTCCTCTATCCAGTACTGATTGTTCTGATCCATAGAAGCTTGGAAACGATCATCAATATTTAATCCTTCATGACTGAAGCTCATGTTATTCTGATCATAAGTTGTGCTCATTGAAGGATGATAATAATAAGTACCGCCAACCTGTTGATGATGATCATGAGTAGTACTTGGTGCCGCTTGGAAATACTGATGATGATCATGAGGATTTGTAGTTGTTGTGGTGGTATTAGAGTTGTTATTAACTGGAAGAGTAGTAGTAGTGGCAGTAGGATTGTTATTAGCGGTGAAGTAGTGATCAGTCAGGTCGGAAACCGGCGAAAATTGGGCCCCAAATGAGTCCGAGGAGGCGGCGGTGCTAGAGTTCTCAGGAGTGTAATTAGCACTTCCCACAAAGTCATTGGAGATATTAATAATATTGCTAATTGGCAAATTATTATTGATCATGTTGTTGTTGTGGAAGTTGTTGAATTGGTGGTGATGAGTACTTGGGGCGCCTGCGGAGACGGTGATGTTGGCGGTGGTGGTGGCAGCGGCGGTGTTGGCGGCTTGAATCCTCTCTACAAGCCTTGGCATCCAAAGGTAGCGCATGGTGTCCTTGAATTGCTTGCTGTTGACGTCACATTTGAGCTGCTTGGCATGCTTCTGAACCCTTGTTCTCCAATAATTCTTTATTTCATTGTCCGTTCTGCCCGGCAAGTGCTGCGCAATTTTGGACCATCTGCATGACAAATTATATGAACAATATTATTGAAAGTTATTATAATGGTTAATATTGGAAAATTAGCAACTAAAATTAATGAAAAGTATTGTAAATGTTATTTACCGGTTTCCCCAGCGAGAATGGAGCTCGAGAATGAGAAGTTGCTCTTCAAGAGTGATGTTTCCACGTCGAACATCAGGGCGGAGATAGTTCAGCCACCGCAATCTGCAGCTCTTTCCGGTTCGCTTTAGGCCTGTGGGCAAATTAACAAGATTAATTATTCAGCAAATTTAATTATTTGTTAAGATATGCAGAGAGACTTTTTTTTTTGGGTAAAGTTGTCTGTTATATATCATCATGAATAACAAACACTAAAGAGGAAGAAAAGAAAAAAAGAGAGAGAAAGGAAGAAATTGATGGTCATTTTCACTCCCTAACTTTTTTCGTGATTTCTCCGACAATATTTACAAGAAAAAGAGAAAAAAAAAAAAAAAAAAAAAAAAAAAAAAAAAAAAAAAAAATTTTGTTCAGAACAATCATCTTGATCACGTGTACTATATATAGACATGTATACATATATGGTTCACATGTTTCATCATATGATCAATCAATTTTTATCTTTTGCCTAATATCGCCATAACAAATTTATTCTTTCAAACATTATAAGTATATATGTATTTATGTATATATGGAGTAGTACTAGCCCACACGCTTTTCTTTCCTTCCCAAAGAAACGTCAAACCCCTCTTTGTAGATCACTACTTAACCTTTGGTATGATCCAAAGGACATCATGTAAATATTGGTCATCTCATCAAAACTGTTGGAGAATAGATGATCAGAAAGAAGATACATATCATTAACACCAGATCTTTCATCAAAAACCTAATTTATTATCATATATACTTTTATATTTTGTGTGTGACAATATATATATTGAAAATAACAAGGCCAAACCAAAAAAAAAAAAAAAAAAAAAAAAAAAGGAAAAAAGATGTAAAAGATTCAATTATTCATGATGTTAGAAACTACAACTTGTTGTGTGGCTCTATCAAAGAATAGTACAACTAGTGGGGAAATAATAAAAGTGATTATAGTGGGGGGTTTAATATATGATTAACACAATAGTACTATATTTAAATAATTACCGGCGCAGCGAGCGAGGGAATTCCACCGTCCTTCGCCGTGATTAGCAATGTAATTGATGAGAGTACGATCTTCCTCAACCGTCCATGGCCCTCTTCTAAGGTCCATCATCATGTCTTCTTGATCACTTAATTGTGCGGAAGAAGATGATGATGATGAGTTAGTACAGCTTGATCTCCCTTTCACAACTACTTCATCCATTTTAATATATATATGTGTGTGTGCATACAAATATATATATATATATATATGTATATATGGACAGACAGTATATATGGCTACTTGGGTTTGGCTTATATATGATGATGATGATGATGATGATGATGATGAACAGATGAATAAGTAGCCTGCTTTGCGTGCGATAGGTTTTTTTAGAGAGAGAGAGAGAGAGAGAGAGAGAGGAGGAGGAGGAGGAGGAGAGAGATAGAGTTGGATTAGTACAGGAGAGAGAGAGGGGGTTTGGCTTTTTATAGAAACATAGATGGGGTTTGAAAGAGAAGCATGTGAGAAGAGAGAGAGAGAGAGAGAGAGAGAGAGAATGACAAAACCGCAATAGGGGAACTCGGTGGGAGTTGTGTTAAAAATTATTTTTAGTTTAATAGTTAATGAAACACTTAAACCCCGTTCATTTTACCGATTCGAGTTTAAAATTTAAGTTTTAGTGTAGTAAAAAGCTCTCAAAAATAGTCACATCTAACTTTTTTGCTACCGTAAAAAGCTCTCACATAAAGTCACATCTCAACTCGAATTAAAAATTCAAATCATCAAACTAAACGAGTTGTATTGAAAGAAAAAATAGTTGTTCCAAAAAGCAGCTGAGTGTATAGTAAACTATAATTATAATAACTATACTGGTTCTAAAATCAGTGTAATAACGTTTGATAAATTATGAGGTTGAATTACTGTGAATAGTTAAAAATTATGACTATACTATATTATACAATAATATAATATATATAATTACAATATAATATATATTTATTATTATATTTAATATAAT